CGGGTGGGGGAACGTACCAACGTCCAGAAGAGCGACAATCCGCGGTGGGAGTTCAACACGAGTAAGCACAGCAGCCAAGATCGGACCAAGCAAGTACGGTCCGACCTGGTTCGTCTGTGTCGCAGCTGGGCGCGCAGAGTCCAGCGTCAATTGCTATGAGAACTGGAAAGGTTGGAGCGGCACTTCCAGCACATGATGACGATGAGTCGGGTTGGATTTCGGCGTTCACGGGTGAAGTTGAAGAGTCAAGTGATGAGTGCGAGATGCTCGTCGGCAGTGGTGCTCACACCCATTTCACTCCAAGAGGTATGGCGGGCGGATCCGAGCTGATGGGCGAGACAGGACAAGCACTGCGATCAATCACTGGCAAGGCCATTCGCACATGGAATGAGCGGGCACTGACAGTCGAGGTCTACGACGGAGCCGCTACGATGCCAGCGAAGATGAACGTTAAGCCTGCAGGAGGTGCGTCGAGGAGCCATGTCGGTTGCGAAGATGACGATTCAGGGTATTCAATTCGTTTTGATCCCGATGGCGCCGGGATGTTTGAGAGCAGCGGGGCAGTTGTTGACAGCATGGACTCCGCTATGCAGGGCACGGTCGCCACCAGCCTTCGGAGAACGGTGCACGCGCTCCTCCCGCCAGGGAAGTTCAAGGACCTGGTGGGAGACGGGCCGATCGTCGGCGACGCCGAGACGAAGGAGGACGAGGTGCGAGAGGAGCGTGGCGACGTGCGGGACGACACCGGCGTGGGTGCTCATCCTGAGGCATTTGGCTCACGAGATGGCCCTCGGGGTGCTGCCGAGGGCGCGCCGGCGGAGGCGGGGGCGGCCCCCGCCCCCGGGGCTCCAGAGACCCGTGCGAGCATCGGCCGAAGCAGCAGTGGCTCACTTTGGTAAGCCCGCGGGCGCCGAGTGGCCCAAGACAGTTAGGCGCTGGTCAGCAAGCGGTGGGGTGCACCGGGGGCGAGCAAGCTTTGGAAAGGAGGCGGCCGGATCTCAGCTACGACTTCGACCTGTGCAGAGGGGAGGCCACGCATTGCAGGGTTCTGTCGAGAGCGGGGTCAAGACAGTGGGAGGACTTGCTAGGACAGGTAGGCTGGCGCTCGAGAAGGAATACAACACGAAGATCACGGAGGACATGCCCATCATCCCCTGGACGATCAGAAGCCAGGCGACCTAGCACAACAGGTGCTAGCTGAGGAGGAGCAGTGGCCGCACAGCTTTCGCAGAGCTACGCCTGGCGCCCTGCACATCGCTGATGCTAGAGCTCGGGGAGACGGTGATGGGCAAGAGCCAAGTCGAGCTGCACGAGAAGTTGGGCGTGGCCTGATGTAAGGCTGTGTGGTTAAGGCGATCCCTAGAAGGCGAGGACCTTCTAGGACCTTCTAAGAAGCCCTCCGTGCTTCTCCAAAACGCCGTCATATAATCCTCCAGGCCCTTCTCGGCACGAGCGGCGAAATGGCAAAACCACAACCGCTGGGCTGGGGAGACCACCCCCCGGCGCACCCCGCAGGGCCAACCCCGAACCCCCCCGCGGTGATAGCCTGCGCACTGCACGCGGTGCGAGGCGGGGATTTATCCATATCCGCCGCCTGGGAACCGACGTCCTAGTGCCCCAGCGGGCGGTGGATACGGATATACTTCGGCTCCCGGGGGCCCGAATATGTCCATATCCACCGCCTGCCGAGGCTCCGAAAACTGACTTTCCAGGCGGTGGTCATGTATACATTTCCGCCTCGGACGCGGGTTCTTGCCCCCCTTTTCCCAAAGCTGCATCAGCATGCCTTATCGGAGGTCCGCGCGGACTTCGTGAATCGGCGCTGGATCCCCCCCCTGGCGCGCGGAGCGCGCAGGGGCGGCGCTGGAGGCGCAGCGCCTGTCCAAGAAATCAGCGCGGACCTCTGAGAAATTATACGCATGTATTATTTGTTCCTCGAGTCCTCTGGTCGCACGCCGATGGGGGCGTTCTCATTTCACGACCACCTGGCCAGAAGGGTTAGGTGTGTACGGCACTGCGTCGCTTGGACCACGCGTCCGAAGTCGGTGTGTCTGTGTGTGTGTGTCTGTCTGTGTGCGTGGGTCTGCGCATGGCATGTTTGGTCTTCTTGTCTTCTCAGGGGCCGGCCACGCGCATCTTTCTCCTCTTGCCCTCCGACTTTCTACGCGCGCGAGGCCGCGACGCCAAAAGGTGTGTGTGTGTGCGTTGTGTGGTGTGTGTGGTGTGTGTGTGTGTGTCAGTGTGTCAGTGTGTCAATGTGTGCGTGCCAGTGTATCAGTGTGTCAGTGTGTTATTGTAGTTATCAGTGCGTCAGTGTTTCACTGTGTCAGTGTGTGTGTGTGCGTGTGTGTGTGTTGTGTGTGTGTGTGTGTGTGTGTCTGTCGCGCTCTCTTTCTCTCTCTCTCTCTCTCGCTCTCTCGCTCTCTCTCTCTCTCTCTCTCTCCCTCTCTCCCTGCCAGAGGGGGCGGCTGCTGCGGCAGGCGGCGGCTGCTGCAGCCGCCTCCTCTCGCTGCCGCTGCTGCTGGTAGCCTCGCCCCTGCACCTGCAGGCTCCGACGGGCTTCTCGGCCCCAGCGATAGGGCCGAGAGGGCCCAGAAAGGGCACCAGCTGGGGGCAGGCGCGAAGGGGGCCACAAGACAGCCCCACGAGACCTCAAGATGACCCCGAGGTGACCCAAGATGGTCCAGGACAGCCCCCAAGAAACCTCCAGACACCTCGAAGTGGTCCAAGATGGCCGCCAGGAGGCCGCAAGAAGCCCCTCAGAGCCCCCTCTGGGAGCCTCCAGAAGCCTGCCGAAGACCTCCAAGATTGCCGCAAGATGCTCCGACGGCTCACGAAGGTGTCTCAAGCTGCCTTCTCGAGTTTTCGGGCTTCGATGTCGAGACGCGGGTGGGGGAGTGTACCGTTGCTTGCTGCGCGCAATATACACAGCGACTGCTTCTCACCCAACGCGAGATAACACCCAAAAGCTCCCGAATGCCCACGAGCACCCAGGCACGTAGTAAGGCCGATGCGATATGGACTGGTGGAGTGCGCGAAGCAATTGACAAACACATCAGCGGCTCAGAGATAGCAGTCGTTCAGAAATTCTGTAGCGGACGCGACATATAGGATCGCAATCGTGTCGTTATGTTCCGTTCTGTCTATTTTCTGATCCGTGTCATGCACTTCTGGCAGATTCTACAGGGCTGCGCCCGAATAGTGATCACCGTTGAAGCTAGTGGAAGGTTCCACGCAGCGAGCTTCCTGCTACTCCTCCCACTTCCTCAAGACCTTCTCGCCCGTTCTGTTCCATAATTTCTCCTTTGTAACCCCGTCTTTCTTCCTGTGCCGTCAATCCTTCTGTGCCTCCTCGTTGGCAGCAGGTTGCAGCACCTCTCCCTCCTCCTCCCCATCCTTTCCTCCTCCTCGTCCTCGCCTCCCTCCTTCCCTCCCTCTTCTTCCCTTCTCTCCCTTGGTTTCCCCTCCCCCCTTCCCCACCCCTTCGCCCTCCACCTCCTCCTCCTCCTCCTCCTCCTCCTCCTCCTCCTGCTCCTCCTCCTTCTCATCCCTCTCCTCCTGCTCCTCCTTCTGCTCCCTCCCGCCTCCCCTCCCCCCCTTCCCCCCCTCGTCCTGCTCCTCCCTTCCCTCTCCTCTCGCCATCCCCCTGCCCTCCCCCCCTTGAAAACCTGTGCCCTGGGCCGTCGCTCGCGCCGCCGGCCATCGTCGACCCGCTGCCCGTGCCAAGGCTCGTGCGCGATGGGGCCGGGGCGCCCGAGGACGTCGCGGACCTCTCGGCGCCAAGAGTCTCTCTGCACCCGCTCTCCAGAAAGAGTGGGCACCACCAGGAAGTAGAAAGGTGCTGGAAGTAGATGCGATATCCGCCCGCCCCCTGCTCCTACTCCTGCTCCTGCTGCAGCCCCCTCCTCCTCCCCTCTCCTCCTCCTCGCCCCTTCTCTTCCTCCTCCTCCTGCTATTTTCCTGCGATTTACCGCGCCATTGCGGTCAAGCCCCGTAGCGCCGCGCGGCGGCCGACAGCCGCCAGCTCCTCCCAGCTGCTGGCCGATGGGCGCCCCTTCGTCTTTGCTTTGGCTTTGTCTTTCCAGCCGCTGGCCGCTGGGCGCCCTTGCCTTTGCTTTCCAGTTGCTGGCCGCTGGGCGCCCCTTTGTCTTTGCAAGTGGCGCCCCCGGTCCTCTTCCTGCGCTCCTGGCCTCCAGGCTGGAGGCGGCGCTTCCTGCGCGTTACGCAGGCGACTGGCAGCAACCCTTCGGCGCCTGTGCGACTTTGCCGCCAGCCGAGGAGCCTGGCCGCTCCTTGGGCGTTCGCCTTCTGCTGTGGCCTCGAGCAAATGGCCGCGGCGCGCCGCTGCCTTCCGCGGGCGCCCGCGGGCGAGGCAGGGGGGTCCAGCGTCGTAGCCGGGGCCCCGTGTTCGCTCTCCTCGGTGGCCTCGGTCGGGCTCGCAAGCTGCCGCCGGCGAAGCAGGGGGGCCTGGCGCTGCCTCCGGAGCGCCAGGGCACCATGCTCGCCAGGGCGCCGTCAAGGCGTGGCGGTGGCCGCCTCCGGCTGCGGCGGCGCGGCCTCTCCAGGGCCCCGCGCAGCCCTCCTGCAGGGGGTGGGACAGCTTCTGGCCGGCCTTGGTCCCAGCAGGCAGCAGTCGCGGGCAGCGCGGCGGCGGGGTCGCCTCGGGACTCCCCTCAAGCCCTCGTCAGGGTCTGCTGGCCCGGGCGGGCCCGCCGGCGGGCGCCGGGTGCTCCTCTTCATCATCATTCTCGCCAGCTTCGCCTTCTTCCTCACAGCCCGCGATTTTCATCCACACCTGATCGAAAACATTCTCGTTGGAACACGCGTCGTAGACGTACGACTCCGCTTCAATGCCCTTCTCATTGAGCATGTCCAACAATGAGGTTAGGACGTGCGCCGTGAGGCAAACATCATGGCATTGAAACTTTGTAGCGGCTTCGAAGAATCTGGTGCGTAGAAGGGCATGGGCAGCAATGGCTGGCCTGTCGCTCCAAGACAGTTGTGGTGTTGCGCCCTTCCTTACGCCCTCTGTGCTTAGACCTCCAAGCAGAGATGTCCACTTAGGCACCTGGAGCTGGTACCGAATGAAATCAATCAACTCGTCATGCACACCTTCCTTCCAGCTGGCGCCTGGCGCTGGGTGGCCGGGGAGCGAATCGCCCGGTTCCCCCTCCTGCGGCGCGTCCTCTCCGCCGAAGCCGCGTGCGCCAGCCGCTGCTCCGTTGGAGGCGCGGCGGCGGACCTGGTCCTCCGCGAGCGCGGCCGCCGCGGCGTCGGCCAGGCGCCCTTCCGGGGGCGCAGGGCCAGGTGGTCCTCGTCCAGTTCGTTCGGCGGCGTCGCTGGGTTCGCGGCCACTCGTGGGCCCGTCGGGGCCCGCAGGCCGCTGTCTCTCCAGGTTCCGAAGCAAATCCAGCCGTGGCGAGAGGGGAGGGGTCCTCGGCGACACAGCCCGAAGGGCTAGGTGGGGGGGGGCCGCCGAAGGGATACCGTGGGGTGGGGCTGGGTCCCCTCCCATGTTCGGGTCCTCTGGCCTCGCGGGGCCAGCGCCCTAGGGAGTGCCCTGGGTCCTCCTCCACTGGGGCGCCCGCTTCAGCCAATGCCAGCCCCGCGGAGGCCGGCCGCCCTGTCTGTCGATGGCTGCTGCCGGGTCCCCTCCCATCGTCGGGTCCTCCTCCGCAGAGGCGCCCGAGGGAGTGCCCAGGGTCCCCCTCCGGCGAAGTGCCCTCTGTATCCACGCGCTGGGTGCCAAAATTTCGAGTTTGATCCTGCCCTGGCGACTGCACGTCGTGTCTCGTCCCCTCCTCGGGACCTCGTTCTGGTTCTCCAGCGGCTCGCCCAGTTGCTTCGACGGGAGGGGCGGTCATCCCCCGCATGGTCCCAACGCTGCTGGTCGCCGTGGACTCCTCGGCGCTACCGTGGCGCAGCATGGCAGCGCGCGCCGCCTCCGCAGCCGCGCGGCGTATGCAGTCGACCGAGGGGTAGGCAATCCCGGGAGAGTACTGGTGCTGCTGTTGGTGCTGTTATTCCTGTCCGTGGTGCTGCTCCTCCTGGCGGGCGTTGGAGACGGCAGCCTCGGCCCTCATCTGCAACGGCACCCTGATGACGATGTGCTCGAATGTGCTGGTCTTCGAGGGCGCCGCGCCAGGATGGCCGACACGGCGCGCGTCCGCCTCGAGAGCGTCGAGGCGCCGACGCCGCGCGGCTCGCCGAGCGGCTGTGGCGCCCTGCACGGCCGCCTCGCGGGCTCGGAGACTGCTATGGAGGCGCCCTGGAAACGGGCAGCCTCCCCGTGTTGGCTCTGGGCTGGCCCTTGCACAGGGCTGCGCGCCCGCGAGGTCCATCCCAGCAACGGCCCGCCCACCACAAGTGGGGGAAACAATTGGGCCACAATGGGTACAAACCTTTCCTCCTCCTCCTCCTCCGCCTTCTCCTCCTCCTCCTTCTCCTCCTCCTCCTCTTCCTCCTCCTCATCCTCCTCATTCTCCCCCCTCCTCCCCCCGTGTCCTACTCCTCTTCTCCTCCTCCGCCTCCTCCTCCTCCTCCTCCTCCAATTCCCCCTCCTCTAGGAGCAGGGCCCCTCCCCCTGCCTCTCTGGGGCCTGGCCCCCACGTGCGTGCACCGCCACATCTTGTGAGTCTTGAGCCCTGAGCCCTCGCTCCCTCTTCCTCCTGCCTCCTCCTTCCAGAGGACCTCCTCCTCCTCCTCCGCCCGCCCCCTGAATACGAAGAAGGAAGGAACACACTTCTCGGCTCTTGAAGTAGGAAGGCGCCCGAAGTAGTGTGGAACCTGGGAGTTCGAACGTGCCTACTCTCGGCGATCGACAGGCTCCCAGGGAGGAGCGGGTGGGACGAAAGGGTGGGCTCGATCGACAGCGAATGGGGGGAAGCGAAGCAGCTCGCGCAGATGGCTTTTCCCAGGCCTCCTGACGCTGGAGGCTGGAGGCGCTTATGCATCGCAACCTGCGCTCGGCGGCGGGGCCCAAACCTCAGCAAAGGCCCTGCGGCTCCCCCCACCAGCCAGCGGTGGCCAGCAGCTGCCGCCGTGGTGCAAGCAGCGCAGGGCACAAGAAAGGACGGCGCCCGCGATGCCTGTGACTACTCAAGGGGAACAAGCGATGACACCAATTAGAAAGTCGGAGATCCGCGCGGATTCCTCGGATCGGCGCTGGGGGGCCCCTGGCGGCGTCTCCGGCGCCGCCCCCGGCGCACTCCGCGCGCCAGGGAATTGTTATGTGTGTGTGTGTCACTGTTTGTTGCCTGATATGTTGGCATCGCACAGAACGCGCTGCTGAACCACAACACGAGACCGACGCCACCCCGCATGACCCGCGCGCAAATGAGCTGCCCGCAACCAGGTGGCAGCGCGACGTCCAACCAGCACATTCAACGGCAGAGGCGCAGATGTCGCTGCG